CCTGTCTAACCTGCAGTCGTCGAGTTATCGCCACCTTAACGTTCAAAGTGACCCTAATGCGCATTACCAGCCTTTTTTTTCCGCTAGGAGAGCTCTCATCCAGTTGTACAAACGAGCCGATGCTGTTGGCTATACCACATGCAGCCTTTACCATCACATAGCTTAACGGTAAATCATGTACTTGGACCCAACAATCTGCTTGATCCAGTTCAACCTCTAAAGGCTTATCAATACGTTTTAATCGTCTAATGACCACCAGATTTTGCTCGAATGACCAAGGTCCTTCCTTCACAACTCTATTGAGATCTCCTTCATGATAGAATTGTGACAGGAATTTTGAGTCTTCAATTTCATCAATAGAGACTCCTTTCACTGGCCTCCAAACCATAGCCATTGTATGACAGAAAGAAACAGCACGAACAAGCTTGTCAGACAACACTCGAGCCACCACCACGAGATTGAAATCCCCTGTAGTTTCACCCTCCTGTTCGAGCAGGTCAGCCGCAATAACCAGTCCCCTGTTTTCTTCCTCGGCAATTGATAATATGTTAACATTCTTCGAGATCATATCCATTATCACCCCAAACGAAAGCAGACACACCCCAAACAAAATCACTGATGCATTAGATTGGATGAAACGAAAGCAGACACACCCTCTTCAATAAAGAAACTTAATCGAATAGCCGAACAAGACACAAATCCACAGCAAAAATCTCAGCCAGAATCAGCCGGAGAGAAACCATGGAACGAATCCGGAAAGGAAGAAACGTAAAAAAAACTCACCTAATTACAAAGCTACAGAACCTGCCTTGAGGAGATGACACGCCGCCCCTCCGTTGCAAGTCCAGCTCGGTCACCGATCGATTCCTCGCACTTGCGCCGCCTCAGACATCGCCTCTACTAGATACCTACCACCTTAATTAATTCCCCAATTATTTTTCCCACCCCAGAATTTCCCCCCACCTCCAGTATCCCATACACACCTCCTAGTCCGACCATACCTCACCCTCCTACACTCTCGGGTTCTCATACCCCCAGCTCGTCACCAATCCCTTCTCCAGACAACCCATCCAGCCCCCCGACCTCATCCCATACAGCCGAGGACACCTCGGTCGAGACCAGCCCTCCCGTTAGCCCTCCACTCAGTTCTTCTGTGCCCACTACGGTAGCTAACATTCATCCCATGCAGACTCGTGCTAAAAATGGAATTTTTAAGCCCACATATATTTTTTCTTTACACACGGATGTTATTGGCACTAATCCATCACATTTTTCTGAGGCAAATAAACATTTAAAATGGCGGGAGGCTATGGTTGAGGAGTTTAATGCACTTATTGCTAATCATACTTGGGATCTTGTTGCGTTTGACAATTCTAAGAATATAGTCGGGTGTAAGTGGATTTATAAAACAAAATATCATGCTAATGGCACAGTGGAGCGACATAAAGCTTGGTTAGTAGCTCAAGGTTTTAATCAACAGTCAGGTGTAGATTTTTCAGAAACCTTTAGTCCAGTCATTAAACCTACCACTGTACGTATTGTTCTCACTTTAGCTACTCCGTATTTCTTTTGGTTGGGTGGTTCGTCAATTAGATGTTAAAAATGCATTCTTACACGGCCATCTAACTGAAGAAGTTTACATGAGTCAGCCCCGTGGTTTTATTCATCCCCAATTTCCTCATCACATGTGTCACTTGCGCAAGGCCATTTATGGACTTAAACAAGCACCACATGCCTGGTTTCATCGGTTTAGTAGCTTTCTTCTTCAGAATAATTTTTCCTGCAGTAAGTCTGATCATTCTTTATTCATCTATCGCCATAATAATTCTATCATTTATTTATTATTATATGTAGATGATATTATTATTACTGGCAATTCTGACACTGTTGTTAATAATTTTACTTCTCTTATTTCTCATCATTTTGCTATGAAAGATCTGGGCAATCTCCATTATTTTTCGGGCATTGAGGCCACTCGAACCTCTAAGGGTTTATTTCTCACTCAGCAAAAATATGTCACTGATTTACTTGCTCGATTTCATTTGCATACTGTTAAGTCTGTTCGTACTCTTCTTGCCTCTCGCACTACCTTAACCCTCACTGATAGTGAGCTTCTGACAGACTCAACTGAGTATCACGGCATGGTAGGTGCATTACAATATTTAACTTTGACACGGCCTGATATTACTTTTGCAGTACATTTAGTGTCTCAGTTTATGCATGCTCCCCGTACTTCTCACCTTCTTGCAGTCGTGCGTATTTTCAGATATTTACAGGGTACACGGGATCATGGTCTCTGGCTTCAGACTTCCGCCACTCCCACCTGTGTTGTTGCATATTCAGATGCTGATTGGGCAGGCTGTCCAAATAGCTCCCGGTCCACTCGTGGTTTTGCAGTATTTCTCGGGTCTAATATGGTCTCATGGAAGTCAAAGAAGCGACCGACTGTGTCTTAGTCTTCCACTGAAGCAGAATATAGAGCTATTACATATACAGTTCAAGACACGTTGCATATTCGGTCAGTTTTATTTGAGCTTGGCTTTCCCATCACGGTACCCGTTCGTCTTCTGTGTGACAATATCTCTGCATCCTATCTAACTGCTAATCCGATTCAACATGCTCGAAGCAAGTACATTCAGATTGACTATCATTTTGTTAGAGAGCAAGTGGCTCATGGTGATCTCCTTGTTCGATATGTTCCTACTCATCTCCAGTTGGCAGATATTTTTACTAAAAGTCCCACTAGTCAACGTTTTCATTTTTTAAAGACAACCTGCGCGTTGTATCTCCCGCACAGTTTGAGGGGATGTAATAGACTAAGGTCATTTATGTATTTTAAACATTACTTCTCTGCTATAAATATACTAGTCAATCCACCCGTGCGTTGCACGGGGAACAAATGAAATCAATTTTTTTTACAAAGAATTTATTTCATGAGTAATGTGTATATACATATTTATTGTAAAAAAAAAATAAAAACATGATACAAAATTATATTAGAATACATGTATGATAATTGTTAGTCCGTTGGACATACACCAATTAGCATAAAACTATAAAATAAGTATCCTTTCATCCCTAACAAATCTTGTCTAATGAAGATGATAACAATTGTTATTATATTATGTCTCTTAATTAATTATGTATAATGGATCTTTTAATATTTTTCTAATATTTTTTTAATATTTAATGTATTTATGCTCAATATAATATTCAAAGTTTTATTTATAACATACAACTATTAATTAGGTTGGCACTTAATATGGAATCACTAAGTAATGCTTCATTAAAGTGACAATAATTTTATAAAGTTTTATTTATAACTTACAAAAATTAAATAGGTTGGCACTTAATATGACTTCATTAAGTAATGGTTCATTAATAGTGACAACAATTTTTCACTTCTTTTGGCTCCAAATAGATTTCTATTTGGATCTCCACCATGTTCTCTTTATATATATAAAGATCTGCTCGGGCTCCTTAGAGGGCAACCCGTATTATTCTCTCACAGCCTCTACTCCCTAACCCCATACACTCCTCCCCAGCCTCATCCCTTCTTTAGTGGTCTAGTCCTTTAGTTGTTGCTGCCTCGACGGTAACTCCCACCTCCGCAACCCTCCCCCCTACAGCCCCTTGTAGTGGACCAATCTCCTCCCTAGCCATAACCGCCCTCTCCATCATCCTTAGTCGTCGCACCCCACCATACAATCATAGATACCAATTAAATCGGCCGCATCGCCACCTTATTCAATCGCACCACTAGGTTCTGAAACCACACGTCTACGTGAAACCCTAGTTTGGAGCGATGAGGTTGTGGCCCATGAACAGAAAAAGGAGAAATAGAGGTGACGAAAAGAGAGAGGGACATCCTCGTTGGGGCCTGTGGCAACGTATGACAGAGGTTGAACAGCCGCCGCTGCCACGATGCAGAAATAAGGAGAAGGTTTTGTTATGCACCTGTGCTAATATGCTATGAGCTTTCCCCGGATGTAGCAGACTCGGAAGAGACAAAGACCAAGCAAGAAAAATAGGACGAGCAGGGAAAGAGAATAGGGTAATTTAGTCCTCTTATTAATATTGAGTCTCTATTTTTTCCATATTCTAGATCTTATTTTTGTCCATAAAAATGTCATGAGTATTATTCTTGTCAATTTTTCTTTATTGATTATGTAGTACTCCCCCGTCCCATTTTACCTGTCTTACTTTCCTTTTTTGGTTGTCCCAAAATAAGTGTCTCATCTCTTTTTTTGGAAAAAAAATATGTGGCCTACATCATTTCACTTTATTATATTCAAACCTCAACCATAACTTTTACTTTTCCAACCACTACATTAATAAAGAAAAATGGGAAAATGACAGGTAAAATGGGACGGATAAAATGACAGGTACTTTTACTTTATTATATTCAAACCTCAACCATAACTTTTACTTTTACGTACAAATAACGAAACTGACGAATAAAATGGGATTGAGGGAGTAGGTACTATATGGGGCCCAATCAAGCTTGAGGTACAACTTTTCATACACACACTTACACACTCATGTCTGTGTAGGTTTTTTTTTGTCTGTATACAGACATAACATATTTTCAAATACGTTGTGTCTGTATACAAACAAAAAATAAACCCTACACAGACATGAGTGTGTATGAAAAGTGTATAACAATACCTTTTTTATACTTCCTCCGTTCTTAAATAAATGCAACGGTCAACATTTCACACTTGCCGAGACACAACTTTGACTATTAATATATATGATTTTGTATTAGTAAAAAAATTAAAAAATTAGATTATAAAAGTTTACGATGAGACAAGTTTAAAAATATTTTTTCATAAAAAAATATTATTACATTAATAAATAAAACGTAGTCAAAGTAGAACATATGAATAGTGTAAAAGTCAGAGTGTTACATTTATTTAAGAATGGGAGGTACTATGTGGCTAGTCTTATGAGGAAGTGAAAGCTTGGCAACTTTCATGAAGAAGCATATATGTGGCCAGTCTTATGTGAGGTTTAGGCTATACTTTCCCAAATCGGTGGAGAGAGACTTCAGTGGTCAACTAAACATATCTGAAATCCCATGGAGTTTGTTGCTCATGTTCTCATATATCCCTGCCCTCTTCAAGGCCATGTCAACTCCATGCTCAAATTTGCACAGCTCCTAGATCTTTCCAATTTCCATGTCACTTTCCTAGCCACCCCCAATATCGACGCCCGCCTTCGAGCTCACACCGACATAGAATCCGACGGCCGGTTCAGCCACCGGTTCAGGATTCAGCGTTTCCCTGCCGGAATCTATGAAGGTAACATAAATTTTGAAGCTCTGTCCTGATTATGTCGATTAATTTTTGATGTTTCTTAATTAATTAATCAATAGGTGATTGATGGATGTTTAATTAATAGGTAGACCCGATACTAGAGAAGGGATTCTGGAGCTAATCGATTCCTTGCAGACGATCGGGAAGCCGTTTCTGAAGGAACTTGTAAGGCAGAAAGACGATTCCTGGCCGCCGTTTACATGTTTTGTTTCGGATTTACCGCTCGGCATGGCGGTGGAGGTCGGCGCCGGAGTCGATTTGCCGGTTTACTATTTCCGTACGGCCAGCGCAGCTTCCTTTTGGATTTACTTCTCCTGGCCGGATCTCCTTGACGCCGGCGAGTTTCCATTCCAAGGTTTGCTTTAAACATTCTTGAAGAAAAAGAGCTTGGTTAGAATGCGAATCCAATTTATTGATTATTCAAACACGATCCGTCTTAAGTAGTACGAGTATACATTCGTCCAAATAGTTGAAAGATGGAATTTGATAAATATGGAAGGCACGAAGATGGTGACGGTGGACATGAACACCTACAACCCAGAAATAACTAGTTACTTAATTGGACAAAAATATGATCAGTCACTATGTATGAGTAACTGAATAGGAGTCACCATAATGTATTTTAAAATGACAGGTCGCTAATAGATAATGGGTTACTAGGAACTAATCATTGAATATGCCACTTTTTTGGAAAATTTTAAAATAAGTCATATTTTGTCATTTGAATTTAATTTAGTAATATTAGTGGAAAGAGCCTTTAATTAATACAAGGTATAAAATTATAACACGCAAAATATTAATGAAGCTAATCATCATTAAATAATGGGAAATCATTTGAATTTACATCAAACTATTCTTTAAATCTTGGTTCCCTATTGAAATATATTTTCATCCTAAAATGTAAAATATTGAAAGAAACATTCATAAATATCATAAATTTAATAATGTAATCTTAATATTAAAACAAATTTTAATAACTAATCACAAAAATTTAATTATTTAAAACTTAAATTGCCAGATGTCGGGAATGGTCAGAGTAAGATCTAGCGGATGATTTCGAAGTCAAAGAAGCGTGGAGAAGTGGAGATGCTCACCAGCCATGCAGGCGGTGCAGGCGCAACAGCGAAGTGCAGCCGCCGAAACTCTGTGGGAAGTAGGGGCAGAACCACGAATCCTGGATACCATGAGCTGAAGAGTGATTGTACTAGGTTTAAAGATTAGCAGGGTGGGCTAAGTATGAAAAATTGAAAATATTACACTAAAAATATTGATTTTTTTTAAGTTATCATGGGCTTCAACGCACCAGAGCTCATACGTAGATCATGTCCTGACGGAAACGCTGTTGGACGGTCTCGAGGCTAGTCGCTTGAGCTATGGAATGATTGTGAAGCCTGTTGGGTGAGTCGGATGAGCCACACATATGCTGATCTGCAGTTTTAGGTGAGAAAAAAAAGTATCCCAAAAATGATGTAGTTTTGAGACAATAAAATAATACTCCCTCCATCCCACAATTAAAGTACTAGTTTGACTTTATAGTTTCAAAGACGGACATTTGACCCTAACCATCTATAAATATATACCTATATAATCTATATTAAACCGACATTTGAATAATGCATATTACGATGAAACACATATTTTTTTTTGTGATAGAATATTGTCAATCCTGAGTAATTGACGATCAAATTTAACAAGTTTTGACTCCAAACTCAAACTGAGGCTTTAATTGAGGGATATAGGTAGTAAAAGATAAGGAGTAGTTGTCTCATGGTTCAAACCTTGTACCTGCGAGGCACGAATTTCAACAAACACGTGGACTACGAGTCTACGACCTCGTCCACTTCATTCTTTAGTTCATTCATAGTATATATATATGCATCAATTTGGCCAGTTTTATAATATATAGAATGCACTTCTAATGAGAACAATGCTATACGTGTGAATGAACACTTTTAACCTAATTTGATGCACTATGCGACTCATATATTACACTTTTTAGACTTTGTTCAAAACATGACAACATCAAATAAATGTGGTGGCAGATTTGTAAACATTTCGTCAACATGAAAAAGTGTAAGGTATTAACGTTATAGTGCATCACATTGAGTTAAAAGCACATTGAGTTAAAACTCACGATTTTCGTGTTAAGTATGGTTCCTGTCAAGTCTTCTTGATCGAAATCGCCGTTAGGTCACCTCTATTTGAGGTTCTCCCGAGTTGAAATTTAGTAGATTTTTTGGAGCATGTTCTTCATGAAGTGTATATTATGCCCACCAAATTTCACTATAAAATTTAATCAGAAAGTCATTTAAATAAATTATTGTAAAACACCGCGTCAAAATATATATAAAAGCGCGGTGTTTTAAAAAGTAAGTTGTTGCCAGATTCAAATTCACATTTTGCGATTTAGTGTAACTTTTAATGTATCATCTAAATGTACAAATTGCAATTAGTGACAATAATTTAGATGTTAATATAGATATTTTAACTTTATGCTTAATCAAATATGTTAAATTGTTTTGGGCTTGCTATATGAAACGTATGTGGTAAATTTAAGGACCTTAATTAGAGCATCTCTAAACATTGCATCTCACATTTATGTCCCTTACACCCTAATACATGACGACTCACATTTATGTATTGTCAAAAAAAATACATAAATGTGAGATGCAATGTTTAGATAGACATGGTTTATTAAAAGTAACTATAAACATATAATATTGTGAAAGGAAAGAGAAATTATATTACATTCATTTACTTTATATAATTATATGTGTATCACTTTAATTTCATGGCCATTATATGCATGCATATTGTTGGATTGGAGATCTTATTGTAAATTGGGGCTTTCAGTTTGACATTGACACCGTCAATCATGAATTATTGTTAATATATCAATAATATAATGCAATGCAGAAACCGAAATGGACTCTTCTATCACAAAGGTGAAGGGCATGGAAGATTTTCTGAGAGCAAGAGACCTTCCACGATTTTTCCAGCAAGATAGCATTCTTAGTTTTATATCTACTGAAACCAGGAGTGCAGTTCAAGCTCGAGCAGTCATACTAAACACTTTCGAACAACTCGAGGGACCAATACTCTCCCAAATCAGAACAAAGTGTCCAACGGTGTACTCAATTGGACCAATCCATGCCCATCTCAAGGCTAAACTACTATCCAAACCCGCCTCCTCCAATAGTCTTTGGCAAGAAGATCAAACCTGTATGGCTTGGCTCGACTCACAAGAACCCAAATCCGTGATCTACGTGAGCTTCGGAAGCATCGCTGTGATTACAAAGCAACAATTGATGGAGTTTTGGTATGGTCTAGTCAATAGTGGCCAAAAGTTCTTATGGGTGGTGAGGCCCGATTCGATTGCCGAAAAATATGGGGAAACCCCAATTCCTCCCGAGCTAGAAGCGGGCACGAAAGCAAACGGGTACATGGTAAGTTGGGCACCTCAAGAGTTGGTCTTGGACCATCCTGCCATTGGGGGATTTTTAACCCATTCTGGATGGAACTCAACACTTGAGAGTATTGTCGCGGGGGTGCCTATGATTTGCTGGCCGTTCATGGTTGATCAGCAGACCAATAGCCGGCTTGTTGGAACGGTGTGGAAGCTAGGACTGGACATGAAAGATGTGTGTGATAGAGGCATTATGGAGAATGTAATCCGAGAATTGATGATTATAAGAAAGAGTGAGTTCTTGGAGAGTGCTGAAAATATGGCCAAGTGTGCAAAAGAAGCTGTCACAGAAGGTGGATCGTCTTATTCCAATTTTGAATGTCTTGTTCAAGATATTTGCTCACTGAGAAAACCTTAATAACCTCCTCGGTTATTTCGATAGCAACATACGAAGTATTTCATTATTATTGTGGGATTTATGTACTAAATTATCAAAATATTTATTGTACATCGACTTGTACAATTGTTACAATCTAAATGCAAACAAGACTTCATTCCTATTGTTATGCTCTCTAGGGTTTTTCTCTTTCTCTCTCTAGAGCACCGGGGGTTCGAAGTTTGGATTTTGCTTTTGGATTGTTTGGATTTTGCTTTCGGATTGTTTGGACTTTTTGTGAGATCGGAATTCAGGGATGTCGGTTCGGGATGTAGCAGCAAGGGATTCAGCGAGTCCATTGGTTCGCCTCGGTTTTGCAACAACAAGGGATCTGGTGCTCCATCAACGAGTTCGCTTGGAGGTCCCTTGTTAGGTCGCAACCCTCCTTCTTGGAAGGAGGAAGATGAGTGCAGGTACATGGAATTGCAGACGACTTGGTAATCTGGCTACAATTCAATGCCCGACAGATCAACACAAAAGTTTGACTATGGAGGTGGTTGAGCGGCGGGCACGTCCCCCTCCTGAACCGCCACCATGGAGTTTAAGCAAGTCTAGGGTGATCGTGTGGTTTGGCTGGCTCGAACAGAGGATCTACTTTATCTGTTTTATTTTCTCCTTTAGTGATTATTTATTTTGTTGTCTGCTTTCTTTTGTTTTTGATATTCCTGTTTGTAAGACGTTGATTTTTTATGTGGGGGATGAGAGGAATACGATAACCGTTTTTGGCTTTAGGTTTCCCACTTATGGATCAACGAATTATATTGCTTCTCAGAAGTTGATTAATTCCGAATCTGGTTCGTGGGATAACGGTTGTCAGATTTCGTTTTGTCGTTTGATCCATACTCTGAATTATCTGTTATCAATATAAGCTGAATTCTTCCAAAAAAAAAAAATGCAAACTAGACTTATGTTAACATTAAATAAAATTATGTCGAGTATCGGTGAGTGAAGACACCCATTAACAAAAACTTTGCCTATTTTTGTTTTGAAGAGTACGGCTTAATTATCATTAATCAAATCAAAAGACAAACTCCTTATCAATTGAAAGAAATGATAGAAAAACCCCAGTTGATATCTCTTATGTATTCTGCCACCACTCCCTTTAGAGATCAGCTCGAACCATTCAGGATTTCTGAGATAGCTAACGGCCTAACAGTGCATCTGATTCAATTTCCACGAAGTCCCAATTATTTTCTTTTAACCAATTCAGCGCTACACGTATACCCACAGTTTGGTCCCCGAGTCTCCCAAGGCTTTGCTCCCCCGACCAGAAATTCTCCTGAGTCGTCCCTGAGAACCCAGCGCAGCCCAGCCCGTAGCACCTGCCTCCTGTAGAAGCATCAATATTAAACTTCGTCCATCCACGGGTCGGACGCCTCCAGTGTAAAACTCCTCTCTGCATCGTGCTCTCTGTGCATCCTCTTTGATTTTGAGCTTGAACCCAGCTGTAACAAACGCCCTCGCTCTATACATAAATTGAGCAGGCCGTTGTGATGCCTTCTGGCAAACCCTCTGATTCCGCTCCATCCATAGGCCCCGACACCACCAAACAACACTCTGCAACTCCCCCCTAGACTGAAATAACCGGTTGCAGCCATTCTTCAAAACTATTCGCCAGTTGACGGAGCTGTTGCCAACCAATAACAGACCAAGCTTCCAATGCTACTGGACACCGTACGATGTATCTATGAAAGCATCATATTTGACCATCAAATCAGATTTATTTGATGGTTTGAGTTGAATTTATTATTATTTGAATGATCAAATTTGAAATAGATAATGACTTTCTATCATTTTTATTATAAATTTGAGTTGGTGTGATAAGAAATACTCGTTCCGTCCCGCTAAGATTGTCCCATTTTACCTTTTCGGGAAGTCCCACTAAGATTGTCCCATACCATATTTGATAAAGATTGTGTGACTCTAAATCATTCTTACTTTATTCTTACTTTATCAATTTAATATCAACCACACAAACCTACTTTTCTTAATGATCGTGTCACCTTCTCTCGTCTCAATCTTAGTGGGATGGAGGTAGTAACTATTTAATTGGTGTATTATTATTGGTGATAACTGATACTACCTTCACGGTTGATACTACTAGTGATAATTGTCACTAACATTAGGACATGAAGAGGTGATGCAGTTATTAAGAGAAGTGATGGTTTATCTTATTGATATTGAAATGATAGCGAAAAAATAAAGGGAAAGTTCCCGAAATGGGACTAAAAAAGTTCGAAAATTCCAAAATAGGACTGTCATGTTTTTATTCCCAAAATAGGACTAATTACTGCCAAATTTGGAAAATACTGCCATGTTTGAAGTCTGGTACTGCCAAAATATGGCAGTAATTAGTCCTATTTTGGGAATAAAAACATGGAAGTCCTATTTTGGAATTTTCAAACTTTTTTAGTCCCATTTTGGATAATATCTCAAAAATAGAGTAAAAATAATTTACAAATAAATTTTACATAATTTGGTATGCGATAATCTTAATTGATGGGACTGACCGAAAAGGAAAGATGAGACATAAAGAGTATCATGTAAAGTTATTTTCTCTATTTTAAAACATGAAAATTGACTCGAAAATTGTAGAAGACATGCGTACGATTATGAATAAGCTTATTTTTAATATCGAATAATAGTAGTAGTATTTAGTTTAAAAAGTTGACAGGATGTCTCACTAACTTTGCCACTTTCCCTTTTAATTAAAGAATTTGTGGTTTCAATTAATTTTCTCTCTTGTGCACAAATTTCTACCACACAGTTTTTACTTTATTAAATCCGTGCTGGTCAAACTTGGCGACGGAGGTAGTACTACGTATGAGTTATATAACTCCATAGTACCTAAAGTCATTTGGTTATTTTACTACCGGTATGTGTTACTTCGGATATGCTTTAATCGCAAATACGGAGTAACATGCTAAGATATTATACCCACATTGTTTTCTTAAATGAATTATTTACACATAAAATTACTTTAAATTACATTAACTATTTCTTAAATAACTTACCTTTTTTTTTTTACAAAACCACCTACTTGTATTTAATTTAATTATATAATATTTACATGATACGATCTCTATCAAAATATATAATGTTGGTTTGCGCCGAGCTAGGACGAAGCTTCAAGGATAGAGGCAAAATGTCTTTTCCCTCTTTGTAAAAGCAGTCTAATCCTCGAACCCTTGAGTGACCTCAGCTCGTCCATTTGTTTTTCTCTTTAAATCAGGAGGAAGGATCATGGATGGCTTCCTATATTTCTTCAACATGATCAAGATCGCAAATTCGCAATCACAAGACCCAAGATATATTGTTTGTTTCCGTTGCATTAACTTATATCCGACCAAAGGATACTTATAATCGTTAGAAAGATCCACAATCTTGAAGCCCTCCTTCCCGGCGGAGGATTCATATATAGAAATAATGACCAAAATAATACTCCTAGTTTAGCTTAAATAGAATTAGTAGTTTTAAATTAAGATAAAAAAGAAAAAATGTTGATACTTTTGATAAAATTTGTCTATTTGAACACTTTTCGACAAACTCGAACAAAATTTATTTGTAAATAAGTGCACATACTTTTTGTGTGTCTATAGACAACTAGTGTCTGTATTCAGACATTGGTTTTCATGCAAATCACATTAATTGGGTTGCATAGAAATCAATGTATGCATACATACACCAGATGTTTGTATCCACACAAACAAATTTTGTCTAAAAGTGTGTGTCACATATATTTTTTGTTTATGCAGAGATATATTTAGAGACAAATTTTGTTCACACAGATAAATTTTGTGGAAAAGTGTCTATATTTCAACTTTTTGTCTGTGTGAAAGCTAAATAAATAGGATATAATCCAAAGTGTAAGATTTTCGCTTTATTTAATCAAACACTTTCCGGAAAAGTAGATCCCTTAGCTTACACACAAGCTACGTACAGAAAACATAATACTCCATATGTCAAATTTGTGTTACATCAATCACTTTTATACGCGTAGCGACACATAATGTATCAACATTTACACGCCCTTTATTTCATAGGGGTGTTTGGTTAGGAGCCTATCAGCCACTTTTTGACTGATTTGACTATATTTAGCCTTTTGACCAGATGAATCAGCTAAGATGTGTGTTTGGTTAAATGGCTTTTCCAAATGGCTTTTGGTTCCAAACGGCCGAAATGTTAAACGCCAAGAATGATAGCGTTTCGTATTTGGCTTTTCCACATTTTCCTAGACTACCCATGCGCGCGGCCATGCGTTCTCCCTCCCTCGGAATTCGGAAAACCATCCGCCCAACTGTATAGGAGAGAAAACAACCTTTTCCACTCACCAACTTATACCACTTCCTTCAAGGTTAGGGATCTGTGTTTTCTGATTTGCTGACAACTATATATACACAAGCATAATTTCTCAAAATTTACTTAGATACGTGGCGATAAATCAAGAAGCCAAAGGCCATTTACGGGGAGGCGGTGGAGCCAGTAATTGAGTTGTTTTCTGGAATCTGGAATTGATTATCCTGCTGAACCGATGCTTGTGCACAATCTCCATATTGTTCGGGAAGGATCGTTCTCACTATGGCTAGCCCAATTAATCGAAATATATGATTGAATTTATTAATTTGTGAAAAAATGTACGAAGTACTACGTATGAAATAACTGTTTCTTGTGTTCGATGCATTTTTAGTTTTTTAAATACTAAAAACGGTTTATGATAAAAAAAAAACGGTTTATGTAGTTGACTAATTATATATTTATATTATTAAAAAATTAATTGATGTCCTTAAAAGTCATTCAACAAGTTATCAGCTGATTGTAAACAGCTATTTAACCAAACATCGTTTTACAAACTGCTAATCTTATCGGCTAATTGAAACGGTCAACCGAATCTGCTATCATCAATCAGCTAACACAGTCGGCCAACAGCTAACAGCCAACAGCCAATTGCCAAACACCCCCATACTCTCTTTGTTCCTTAAAATTTTGCCAAATTTGATCGGCACGAGAATTGATAAAATAAAATTGTGTGGTTGAGATTTATGCAAAGGGGGGAGAATTAACTCGAACCACAAATTCTTTACTTAGAATAGAAAGTGACAAAATTAGAGAGACGTCATATCCAAAACGGAAAGTTAACAAACTTTCAAGGGATTGAGGGAGTACTATGTAATAAATTAAATATTCGCGTGGGGAAGTCATACCCCATATGACCCCTTCTAATAGTAAACATATACTCTGTATATATGTTCCAAAAGGTTGAATCTCCAACCCCAAGATCCTCACACGCCTCGACCCGACAAGACATTTGGGAGATTGTTAATCACGATGACTCAATTAGTCTAATGGTGGTAGACCTTTTACCCATGCGCACCAGAGGTCCGGCCCAACACACAAGAGTTGTAACCTCTACAGGGCCGATGTGGATTTTGATCATTCGTCAATATTCCAACTTTCTCAATAATCAACCAACCGAGCTATCCGCGTGAAAGTGATATACTCCATATATAAAGAGGAGGAGATGTGGGGTTATGTTACCTACGAAGCATGTGACAAAGAGTAAGAACACAGCATAATAGCGACTGCTCATGGACTAAAAGATTGACTCGTGTTGATTGTTTTTTTTTTTTTTTTGAAACAATGGTGTTGATTGTTGACAACCCAAATTGGAAATTGTTGCACCTCAAGGAAAAATTGAGCATGATGAATGAAGAATTGTTTAATCAAATCTTCCTCGGGTTATGACACATGATTTGTACACCTTCAATTTTCCTTTCCGGTTGTTTTCTCCCAAATGTGTTTTCATCATTTAGATTTTAATGAGACATGTTGGAGTTGGCTCATGACCTATTAAGAAGAGGCGGCGACTCGGCGAGA